AGTTAGTTTTCTAAATGTCATGTCTTAGCTAAAGGAAATACTACTTATGAGACTATCCTTGAATTATTTCTTTTTAATTTTATTTTTTTATGAAAAATAATCTCATTATTTGAAATTATGTTACATGTTTCACAATGAGAATATGAGTTGAGAAATTATTCACTCTTTGAATGTACAATTAGCACACATATTTCTGTTTAGGCCACATAGTATAATATCAATTAATCAGAGCATAATTTTTATTTTATACGAATGGAGAATATTAAATAAATAATCAGTTAAAAAATAAAATATATTACCTGATTAAGTGAAAAATCCATAAAAAAAAAGATTTGCAGACAACACAGGTAAAAATATAAGAAAACATGTGTTTTTATAGTTTTAAAAAAATATATTATAGCTTATTTGAAAAAAAAAATCATATCTTATAGAGTAAATAGTATATTTAGTGAAATAGTACCTATCATAAGAAAAAAAATGTTAATTCTATAGCAATAATTGGCTAATAAAAAAATTAAATTAATAGTATGAAAAAATACATTTAGTTCAGTGGGACATTAAAAAAAATTATATAACTAAAAAATAATTTATATCTACTTAATCAAAATTAAAATTAATTTGAATTCAAATTATTTAAAAATCTAACTCAATAAATTTAAAATTAAACAAGTTTAATTTTAAATTTTAATAATTTATCTTCAAAACCACTTAAATTTAATAATTTAAATTCAAATAATTTGATCATCCAATTTAAAACATCAAATTTAAAATAATTTGAAATCAAAATAATTCACCATTAAAAGATCATGAAACAACTCAAAAATTTTCTTTTTAATTCGTTAGGTGGCCAGTTGTCAACTATACTTGTAAGTAATGATAAATTATTGGATCAGTGTAATTTCAATAAACTCAAATCATTAAGTAATGAGGGAGCTTTTGTTGTACTTTTATCAATCATAGGTTATTGGTTGGTTTATTGACTTTGTTATAATAAATATCCATTCTGAATTTTTGATCTTGACTTTAATGTAATTGTTAAAATATTATTCGTTTTATAAAAATTTGGTAATGTGAAGTAACCATATTCGCCCCAAACATTGTGATTACAAATTATTAGATATGAAAAAGAAATTGTAAATTAGACTTCACAATTTAAAATATAATATAACGATATGATATATATAATATAAAAATATATATAAAAATAATATGATTTAAAATTTTAATAAAAATTATATATATTTAATTAAAATATATATTTTATAATTTTTATATCGATATAAATTATGACATATAATTTTTATATAAAATATCATAAAATATATAAATTATTAATTTTTACGTAACACGAATAAATAAAATTATTAAACCTATTGCAAATAAATATGTACTTGATTGAGATTAATTGATTCTTGTGGATAAGCTTTCTTTAATTTTGGTTTTACATAAAATTACTCTTGAACTTACTTGATTTTGGAGGTTAAATCCTTCAAGATATTATATATATATATATATATATATATATCAATATGAGTTAAAATTTACCTACCCCTAAGTACAAAAATGAATAAATAATAAAACCTATAAATGAACTTTTCTTTTTTCCTTTGTTGTCATTTAATGAGCTTTAAGGGCTATTTGACTTGATTGAAACTTCAATAAGAAGTGTTATTTGAGTAAATTATTTTTAAAATGTTGTAAGAAGAAAAAAGAAATGAAATGTTAAATTAAGAAAAAAATATTTTGTTAAGGTAATATTTTATACATTAATTTTTATTAAATTTATATTTAATTAATTTACTAATTGGATATTCATAATTTTTATTAAAATTATGAAAATATAAATTTATGATACATTAAAACTTAATAATATCCTCTAATAAAAAAATCACAAATGTATAAAATTTATACATATAAATTATAAGCATACATGGATGAATAAACAAAAAATTAAATTCATTAAACTCAAACCATAAATTTTAAAATAAAGAAAAAAATGTTAAACTAAATTTTGATTAAAGGGTCAAGTAAAAGTTTTGAAATTTTAAAATCTTAAATTTAAATTTTATTGTGTAAGAATTTTAATGTTTAATTAAATAATTATTTATTTTATTTATATAATAATTAATTATTGAATTGATTATATGAAACATAGGAGTTAAAGCTGTTATTGCAAAGTTAATACAAAGAAAAAAAAGTGAAAGAAAAGAAAGTAGAGTTTTAAAATGCTGTCACCGTCAGTTTAAAAGAAAGAAAAAACAAAATCAAGTGAAAGAAGAGAAGAAAGTGGAGTACGGCAGGGCAAGGCTTTACTATGTTTCCAAGCCTTCGGCCTAATAATTAAAGAGTTTTGGAAAAAAAATAAAAAATTTGATTTTAAATTAATTTTTTTATTTATATTAAAATTTTATCCTCTTGATGTAATAAAAAATTTTTAATATTAATAATTTGATAATTATATAGTAAAAATAAATAAATTAATTTATTAAAACTAAAATTTAGCTGCATTAGTTGTTAAAAGTACTTTCACTTGAAATTACAATTTGTAATCTCAGCTTTTGATTGTGTGAAAGCTACTATACGCTTCTCACATAAGTTTTTTAGACATTCCCAAACACTTTGTTTATGGCTTTTAAGTTGAGTAACTCTTTAAAAAATTGGCCAAACAGTCACTTAGAAATTTATCCATTTAAACCAATGAGATTTTCATTTAATGGTAAAGAGAATATCTTAAAATTTTGAGATTTTAAGTTTAAATTTTATTATGTGTAAGTTTGGTTATTCGGTGAACTTAAATTTTATTAATTAATTATTTAATAATTAAATAATTAATTATATGGACATAATACTTGATTACGAGTATAGTTTTTTTAAAAAATTATTTAGTTAAAGCATTCAAATATTTGATTCCAATTAAAAATATGAATGTTGATAGATATGGTATGAGATAAGTAAAATATTCTTCATTTTTATATCTGATTTTTTATATTAAATAATCCTCGTACCTATTTCTAATGGTTATGTCAAATATATCATCATCCCCATCTTACAAGTATTTAATAGTTACGGATAATTTTTATATTTTTAATTTTTTTAAAAAATAAAAAAAAATATTTTTAGCTTCTTTATTTTATTTTGAAAATTTTATATTTTTGTATAAATAAATATTAATATATGTTTTAAATAAAAATATATTAATTTTAATTAATTTAAAATAAAATTTTATATTATTAACTAAGAAATTTATTCTGTTTTTAAAACCACTCACATTATCGACTCTAATCTTCAAAATTTAATACTCATCTTTGTTGGATAAAAAATTATATTCCCTATCAAATTTAGATTAGATTAATATCTCTAATTAAAATCTAAACATAATTCAAATATTTAGCTAGATACATGTTAGGAACTTATTTACAATTTGTGAAATTCGTGTTTAACATGGATGAAATAAAAATAACATTATCCAAGTTTTGGGAAAAAAAAACTTTCAAAATACTATTACAAAGATTGAAAAGAAAAAGAATAATTAACCAAAAGTTAGCTCCGTTGATATGATTTATATATTCTAGTGATAAATTTGATTTATGCATTTTAGTAAAAAAAAAATATTAATTATTTATCTTAAAATAAACAAAATTGATCCAAATTTAAAAATTTTATTTAATATATATGAAACTTGAATGTAGTTAATCTCAATTTGATTATAAAAACTAATAACTCGAACTGTCTAAGATAAGCTTAATTAAACTAAAATTTAAATAATTTAAAAATTATTTAAAATTAATTAAAATCTAATTGATTTGATGTTAAAATTTAATAATTAAATTTCAAAATTTAAATTAAATAATTTATATTCAAATGACGAATTAAAAGTATTCAAATTTAAAATGACCTCGATTCAAATAATTCAATCTAAACTTATTTAATTCGTGTAATTATCAAATGAAATTTTATCCTATAATTTTAGGATTGGAGGAACCTACTCCCGAAGTTGTTGATTAAAAAAAGAAGGGTTAGTTGATGAATATTAGTAAAAAAAAAGCCACTGCATTGTAATTCGGTGATGCATCGAGAAAATCAAGAAGGTTAAAAAAAAAAAGGAGTTTGTCCTTTATCGTCCCCAAGAGAAAACGAAACAGCTAACACCAAGTCAGAGGTCCACCGACATACAAACAAAATAACTCTACCCCCCGCATGTGCCCAAACCAACCACAGGCTTCCCACGTGTGACTTCATTTTTTTAATTTTTAAGTTTTAATCCAAAAAAATTCAAGAGCTACTACTAATATATACATTAGATCCCAGAATTATCCTTTTTATGTTATATTTATTTTATATTAAATATATGTAAAATAAAAATTGTTATGTTAAATTATATTTAGAAATTAAATCTAAAATATATTTTTTATTTTTATTAAATTTATATATAATTTTTATTAAAATTTTAAATTGATTTATTTTTATAAAATTTTTATATCTGCTTAAAATTATTATATCTTTCTTACTAACATAAAATAAAAATTAATTAAGAAATGGTGGGTGAAAAAAAAATAAAGAAATGGTGAAAAGACAAAAGTTGGTACTGAGTAGGTCCTTAGTTTTCTTCATAGATAGATTCGGTCTTTTCAACAGATCCTTCAGTCTCGTATTCCTAAGCCTGCTTCACTCCCATATGGTTTCACTTTCTTTTGTTTCAAAACTTTCAAATAAAAATTATATAATATAAAAGATTTTCCATTCTTGCACCTTGAAGAAAGTTGGTTCTTTTCTTACATTCTTACAAAGGTACATCTTTTTTTTTTAATGCAAAAATAAAATGGTAAGATTGTTTTTGTGGGGTAGGTTTGAGTGGTTGTTCAAACTTTGAAATTGTGTGTTTTCTTTGTTTACTCTTTTAAGTTATATGTAATAATATCAATAATGCATGATTAAGACATATCTTTTCTCTTTTCTTTTGTTACTTGTTTCTTGTGTTTGGTTTAATGGGTTTTCTTGCTTTAGATCTGTTTCTGTTTTTTCTTGTGCAAAATGCACAATCATTGTCATATTGTACATTCTGATAAATGATTCAGTTTTAATGCTGTTTGGTTGCTGAAAAAAAAAAGTTTTTAAAGAGTCTTCAAGTTTACATCACTTTGGCTTTTAACTGCATTAAATGGTACCCTAATAATGATTATTGACAATAAAAGTGACAGCTCATGGAAACTGTATGAAATATGTTGTTTTCTTCCTTTTGCTCAGCATCCAGATGGAGGTGATGGGTTATAATTCTTGCTCATAGTTTTTGTTCCTTTGATTTTGCAGGTTTTTGTGTTTCAAGTTGAAAGCTTTCCTAGAAGTGCCTAGTGTTAAACTGTTAGTCAAAAAGCTATAATCTTTTTATCCTTTTGTCTTCCTTCACTTATTTTTATTCTTCCTTAGTTAGAGATTTGAACCTTCAGTACTCAAACTGCCCCCTGCTTTTGCCTTTTTGAGCTTTGAACTGTTAATGCTGTAGCAGTTAAGTTTTTGGTGGCCCTGTATCAAAATTCTAATTTTTTCTGATAACCCTTGTTGTCTCTTGCAAAACTGTTGAGTGTTCTTTAGAAGAAAGATGCAGAAGCCTCCACAATCAGTAGACTTTGCCCTGAAGGAAACCTCGCCCAACATTGGGGCAGGAGCTATCACGGGCGATAAGCTTTCGTGTACCTATGATCTCGTTGAGCAAATGCAATACCTCTATGTTCGAGTTGTCAAGGCGAAGGATTTACCTGGAAAAGATGTTACTGGTAGTTGTGATCCCTATGTTGAGGTTAAACTTGGAAACTACAAGGGAACTACCAAACATTTCGAAAAGAAGAGCAATCCTGAATGGAATCAAATATTTGCTTTCTCAAAAGAAAGAATTCAAGCTTCTGTTTTAGAAGTGTTAGTGAAGGACAAGGATGTTGTCATAGATGATTTAATAGGCAGGGTTATGTTTGATCTCAATGAAATTCCAAAAAGGGTTCCTCCAGACAGCCCACTGGCACCACAGTGGTACAGATTGGAAGATCGAAAGGGTGATAAAGCGAAGGGAGAGCTCATGCTGGCTGTTTGGATGGGAACTCAAGCAGATGAGGCATTTCCTGATGCATGGCATTCAGATGCTGCACCGGTTGGCCCTGATGGTGTTGCAAACATCCGATCAAAAGTGTATCTTTCCCCTAAGCTTTGGTATGTGAGGTTGAATGTGATTGAAGCTCAAGACTTGGTACCTAGTGATAAAAGCAGGTTCCCTGAAGTTTTTGTGAAAGCTGTTCTTGGGAATCAGGCTTTCAGAACTAGAATATCTCAAAGTAAGACTATCAATCCAATGTGGAATGAGGACTTAATGTTTGTAGCTGCTGACCCTTTTGAGGAGCCTTTGGTTCTAACTGTGGAAGATAGGGTGGGACCAAACAAGGATGAAACCTTGGGGAAGTGTGCAATTTCTCTGAATGTTGTGCAGAGAAGGTTAGACCATAAACCTGTGAACAGTAGGTGGTACAATCTGGAGAAACATGTGATTGTGGATGGAGAGAAAAAAGAAATAAAATTTGCCAGTAGGATTCACTTAAGGATCTGTTTAGAAGGAGGGTATCATGTTTTGGATGAATCTACACACTACAGTAGTGATCTTAGGCCAACAGCAAAACAATTATGGAAACGCAGCATTGGAATTCTGGAACTGGGTGTTATAAGTGCTCATGGGCTGATGCCGATGAAAACAAAAGATGGACGAGGAACTACAGACGCTTATTGTGTGGCTAAGTATGGGCAGAAATGGATCCGGACACGGACAATTGTTGACAACTTTATGCCAAAGTGGAATGAGCAATACACTTGGGAGGTTTTTGACCCATGTACTGTCATTACAATAGGGGTTTTCGATAATGGTCATATACATGGGGGAGCTGGAGGGGCAAAGGATGCAAGAATTGGGAAGGTAAGGATTCGGCTTTCTACACTTGAAGCTGATAGGGTCTATACTCACTCGTATCCTCTTCTAGTGCTACATTCTTCAGGGGTTAAGAAGACAGGTGAAGTTCAGTTGGCTGTGAGGTTCACCTGCTTAACTTTGATTAACATGCTGCATATGTATTCACAGCCACTGTTGCCTAAGATGCACTACATCCATCCATTGTCTGTGATTCAGCTTGATAGCTTGAGGCACCAGGCTATGCAGATTGTCTCAATGAGGCTGAGCCGGGCTGAGCCACCATTGAGGAAGGAAGTTGTGGAGTACATGCTCGATGTTGATTCACATATGTGGAGCATGAGGAGAAGCAAAGCAAACTTCTTCAGAATTATGGGAGTTCTAAGTGGGTTGATTGCAGTTGGAAAATGGTTTGATCAAATCTGCAATTGGAGAAACCCTCTGACAACCATTTTGATTCATATCCTTTTCATTATATTGGTTCTTTACCCTGAGCTAATACTTCCCACAGCTTTTCTCTACCTTTTCCTAATTGGAATCTGGAACTACCGATGGAGGCCACGGCACCCTCCTCACATGGACACACGGCTCTCTCATGCTGATGCTGCCCATCCTGACGAATTGGATGAAGAGTTTGATACCTTCCCCACTTCTCGGCCTTCGGATATTGTCAAGATGAGATATGATCGTCTAAGAAGTATAGCAGGGAGAGTTCAGACGGTGATTGGCGATTTGGCAACTCAAGGGGAAAGGTTTCAGTCTCTGCTAAGCTGGAGGGACCCGAGAGCAACCACTCTATATGTGACGTTCTGTTTGATCGCTGCAATTGTTCTTTATGTTACACCGTTCCAAGTTGTGGCCCTCCTCATAGGCCTTTATGTCCTAAGGCATCCCAGGTTCCGCCTCAAACTTCCATCTATACCTCTTAACTTCTTTAGGAGGTTGCCTGCAAGATCGGACAGTATGTTATGAGCACAACCAACCATTATATGTTACGCCTTTTCATTGAATGTCTGGTTATGCAAATATCGAACTAGGGCAAACGAAGCGGTACTTGGAGTTCTTTAGTTGTCGATCAATGCGTGGTTTTGTTATAAATTGTAATGTCTAATTTTCATGCGACTGTAGCCTCGTTTATGTTTTCTATCAATCTGTTGTCCTTATGCTGTCAATTTCTAGATTTCAACTTCACCATAAGATATGGTTTCGATCTCATCCCAAATGATGTAAGCTTATTCTATGTGAATGGTAACCAGATGACTCTCAAACAGGTTTTTTCTTTTTGTTTTTAGATTGTGTGGAGGGATTCGACCCGTCTTTGAGTAAGGGGATCCTGCATTATCGACCGAGTTAAATGTTTAGCAGTTTAGGTGCACCTCTCTGACATGCAGACTTGAGTGGCTTGGCATCAACTAAATTGAGAACTCAAAAGGTTTCCATGAACTCAACCAACCGGTGTTGCTTTTATTGATCTCCATTAAGCTGATGCCTTAATTTATTATAGCGAGACTAATTTGGCTTATGGTATCATGGTCGTGCAGATCTGTTATGCCTCAAACATTACTATTCCACAGGGACTTCGATAATCTAATTATTTATCCCATTTGCTTTTAAAATTCTTCTGCTTTACTAGCAGTTAGTCTGCTTTTCCTTATCTTTTTTTTTCACTCAACAGTAATGAATTGGTAATACATTCAAAGATGCTAAACAAAAGCGAAGCTTACGCAGTCAAATGGCAACTCCAAAATGAACTAAAAATATTGAGCAATATCAATGAAGAAGGGTGTCTTATACAATTGTCTAAATTCTTGTTTAGCATCAGTGCACGGTCCCAAACTATAAAGCTCACAATTAACTTTAGTATTTGAATCCTCCACGGAAAGCATGGAATATGAACTTGATAAAACCCCATTTTATTCATGGTGTCTTGTTACCAACTTTTTTTTTCCCTTTCCATGTTTTGCTTTTTAAGGATATACATATACATTGAGAATATAAACCCTCAAAAGTGAGGGAGATGAAAGGGATATTCTATCACTTGGGCCCATGAATTAGAGCATGCCTAGTTTGCCATATATTTATTTTTCGATATTATGTTCTAATGAACACGATAAGATAGCTTGTAAAATTAAATTTGATTTAAAATTTAATTAAATTAATTTAAATAATTATCTTAAACAAATAACATTTAACGTGTTTTTAATTTAAATTTTAATATTTATAATTTTTTTTCTTTAAGTTCTGATTCAAGATAATTTTTTTTATAGTATCAGACAATTAACTTAAAACAAATTAATATTTTCCTTAAATAATGTTCCCATGTTTTTTTTTTTTCCAATTATTTTCAGGGTCTGATTTTTTGTTTTCTTTTCCAACAAATTCTATTTTACTCACCCAGCTAGACTATTGGTCCTTCAATTGTTATGAGGTTTCCTGAAACGATAATTAATTTGATACAATTAATTACTCAACTTCCCTGTTGAGTAATTAACTAATGAGTATAGTTTTTTTTTTTTTTTTATCAAGTTACATATTAAAAGTAATATAATTAAATATTTCAATATATATTAAAGATTATAATAAAAAATAATTGTGAAAAAATCTAGAATAAGTCATAGACTCAGAAGAAACAACAATCAAAAGCAAAGAGCGGTTACACTCTGATGCTCAAATGAACAGAATTTATAAAAGAAGGATTAGAGAGAATAAAAAAATAACAAAATAAATGATTTAGGTTTACCTAGAGAAAGAGGTAAGATCCATTAGTTGTAGTGGTTAGGCAAGAGCTGTCATAGAATAGGTCTCATGTTATGTGGTCTTTATATAGGAATGTCACGTAACTATGGTCAGGTGAAGTGAAAGTAGGATGAATTGATCTTCCAACTCAAACAAGTTAAATGATTAAAATACCCATAAAATCTCGAAATATTTCCTCTTTAACAAAAGATCATTTTACCCCTGAGATCGAGAATATGTACATCACAGACCAATCAAACAAACAAATCAATATAAAATTATACTGCATTCTAATCTTGAATTTAGTACTTAAAAAATTTAATGAATATAATTAATAATCCTTTAATATGATATTGAAACTCGATTCCAAATTCTTAGTAAAAGACCTTCACCATCTAAGAATGCAAATTTCAACCGTCTGCTTATTTCAAAATGTTTCTACTGACAATTCGTCAGTTATATGTTAAATTGGATTAAATTTAGTCATCAAATCATGCTTTTGTCATTCCCTAATTATCGAAATAAAACAAATAATGATTAGAATTAGTCTTGATTATAACAAGCATATTCCATGCGTCGAATTATTGACAGTTAGAAATTAACTGAACATTAAAAAAAAGCCAAAAAATTTTCATCCATGACGTTTTCACCATCACCTTTCTTTGATGGTTTGTTTTCACATTAATAAAAGATAAGCGAGTTGAAAATGATACCAAATTTGCAAAATTACCCTTAACCCATCTATGATTTATTTTAGGTCAAATTATGTATTAGATTTCTAGTTAACTGATAAAATTAATCTCTTCAAATTAGAACTTTATATTTTAATAAATCGTTAAATTTAATCAAATTATTAACCGGCTAAATTTTTTTTTGTTAAAATTAATGACGAGATATTTTTGCTTATATGCCGTTGGTTTTGTTAATTATCAAGTTCACATGATCAAAATGATAAAATGACAATTTTTTTGACACGTCAACATTTTCTATATCAATTTTTTTCAAGTTGTACGATTCGCCCCTATACTTTGAATAAATGATAGAATTAATCATTCTATTTTAATGTGTATTTAAATTTGATCTTTATACATTAATTAATTATTAAATTTAAGATTTAACTTAAAATAAGTAAAATAAAACTAAAAAAAAAACATAAAAAAACTTTTCAATGCAAGCAGATCAAGTTGTAACAAAGGTAATGCATGGCTTAACACGCAAGTTGCATCAGATCTATCTTTTAAAATAGTGTCATTTCAATCTGTTATAAAATAAAAAATCATTATTTTAATTTCCTTCTTTTTCTCTCTTTCACATCCTTATTTTCCTCTTACTTCTATCTACAAGTCTCATTTAACAAACCCATATTTTAACGGGATTTCCAAAAATCAATGATAGAAAAATTCAATAATCATAAAAAAATTTTATCCAAAAAATAGTCGATACTCAAAAAATTGACCAATGAGACCACTGTTTTATAATCATCATCCAAAGCAAAACGGGATTTTCAGAAGCTATTGAATTCTCAAAATTTCACTAAATCAATCTTTTTAAAAAAATTCATATTTTCCTTGTTTTATCAATTTCTAATTTTCTTTTTTTTTTTTTTGAATTTGACTTCTTGATTTTTACCAACTAAATAATAAAAATAAATAAAATAAAATAAGAAATAAAACACTTTGGACCTTTAAATTTGCACTTAAAACCAAATTTCACAATTAAAGTCTAATTGATCCAAAAACGATTTTAGAACTCAATGTCGAGATGAAATTCAAAACCCATTTAATATTGACAAAAAATTTTCAAACAAAATAAGATGTCTACAATTGCTTTAATTGTTGATTGTGTATTTGGCTATGTTAATTATGGGTTTCTTGATCTAACTTCTATGTTGTTGTCAATTTTTAAAGTTTTTATATTTTTTATCTATCTTTTATTTTTTTATATTTCAAAATTATTGAAAATAGAAATTAAATAAAATGAAAAATCAAAATAAATAAATAAATAAAAAGAACAATAAAGAAAAGAGATAATTTAGTTTATGTTGAGCTTATAATCTAATTTAAGACTAATATAATTTAAGACTAACCCAATTTGTCAAATTAAGTTCAATTAATAATTCAAATATCCCAAAAAAATCACAATCAAATTAATAATTTATGTTTTTTATGTGGTTTTTAGGTCAAATCTTAAATTCAATAACTAATTAATACATAGGGATCAAATTTGAATACACATTAAGGTAAAAGGATTAATTCAACCATTTAATCAAAGTATAAAGACGAACAATACAATTTGAGAATAGTTAGTGTGAAAAAATGCTAACGTGTCAAAAAATTTTACCATGTCATTATCTTTGACCACATTGACTTAACATGTCAACAAAGTCAGTGGTCATGTAGCCAAAAATGCCATGTTATAAAAGTCAAAATGTCATATCATCAATTTTAATGAAAAATGTTTGAACTATTAACAATTTAACTAAATTGAAGTATAAGAATCTAATTAGAAAACATTAAAATATAGGGATTGATTCAACCATTTAATTAAAATACAAGGATTTGTGTCTGACTTTTATTTTATTATTTTTTTACTTTTTTTTTTTGGGTTTTTTTCCTTAGTCTTCATCAATTCATCATTTTTCTCTTTAAAACCAGACAATGACAAGTTCTTCATCTTTGTTTTCCATCTTTTTTTCATTCTTTCCAACTTCTATAAACGTTTATTACTCTTTTTCCACCTTTAAACTTTTGCAACTTGTTTTCTTTTACAATTTAGGTGAATTCAAAACCAAATCCTATAAGTTTGTCATGAAATTTTACGTTTGTTAGTATATTTCTTTATTTATGACATTTTTTGAATCTTTTCATTTTGCAACATCAAAGTGCATATTAATCATACCTTATTGTCTCAAACTAAAAATAAAAAACTCACATATCAAAAATTTCAAAACACAAAAACTCATTGAAAAATCAAAACAATTTAAAACCCACATAGTAAAAATTTCAAGACCCAATTAAACATTCCATTGAAACCAAAATAATTGAGTTTGGTGAAATAGAGATAGCATTATTGAGCAACTCACTACTGCTATAAAATTGGAATCCATTTCTCTTGATTTGCTTGATGGGTAAAATTAAGAGATGAAGGTAGATAAAGCTTGAGAAAATGGTGATGAATGGTGGCCTAGTGGCATAACTTTAAGAGAAAAAAAGAAAGAAATGTTTATGAGAAATGTTAGATCTAACGACATTAAAGGTAATGCTAATAGAGCAAAACATAAATGGGTTAGGTTTTACCTTTTAAACATTATGGGACAAATTTTTCCACCCTTTTTAGTATTTATATGTAATTTACCCATAATAAAAACCTTTCAAGAAAGCAACAAAGGTTAATGCCACTTTCAATGTTTGAAATATAAAGGCTGACCTTCACTACCCTTATTAAATATGCAGATTTGATATTGTGATGTTAAGGGAAAAAGACTAATAATAATAATAATTTTGCTTTGGAATGCGTCATGCAATAATAATAATAATAATAATAATAATAATAATAATAATAGTAATAATAGTATTACTATTATTACTATTATTATTATTATTATTATTATTATTATTATTGCATG